TCTTATCTTTTTATTCAGTTTAGGTGATATAATCATCAGAAAACAATAATAAAAATCTCACTTGAGTGGGCTCTTTGGCTTAGGAATATAATCATCTTACTGCTTAATGTTAGGCAAGTTCTCCAGAGCTAAAGATGGCTACATTTCCCTCCCTAGTTAAAGATCGTCTGGTGTTTTAAATTGCAGGTATTTGAAGGTCTTTTTTTTTCCCCCCCCTTCTCTATCAACTTATAATTTTCCTCAGGCAGGAATCCCAAGTAGAAATGTGAAGAAAAATTGTAAACAAACATTTTCTTTGCAAAATCTCCACTATATCAGTGATCTCACCTTTACAGTGCCTCTTTGCTTAGCTGGTATTTGTGCATTTGTAAGTACATACTATCAGATCACATGACTGGAGAGGAATTTATATTTTTGAAGTTTTTATTTTTAAATAATCTCTTCACCCAGTTTGGGGCTCGAATTCACAACCCCGAGATCAAGAGTTGTATACTCTACGGACTGAGCCAGCCAGGCGCTCCGAGGAATTTACTTTTGATTATTTTTCTTGAGTTTATTCTTTTCCAGATATGGCTTCAGCTTATAGAAGTTCATGATTTTGAAGCTCTAGCCTTTCAAAGGAAATTCTAACTTTGCATTAACCTTGGGGAGGAAAAACAAGTCTGAAATAAAAGTTTTAACACTTTGGAAATCTGGAGCTCAGAGTTACCCTTTCAGATATTATTAGGATTACTGTAAAAGCTAGAGTTTCAGAATGAAAAAATTCCTACATCATTTTTAATATATGGAAATACCTGATAGTTCATGTTTTGAATATTAGACCCTTTTCACAGTTTAACCTATTATGGAATAAAGAATATGTGAGGATTCAGTATGAAAAATGGGCTTTTTGTCCACAGAAGAAGCATATCATTTTTTTTTTAAAGATTTTATTTATTTATTTGATAGAGACAGCAAGAGAGGGAACACAAGCAGGGGGAGTGGGAGAGGAAGAAGCAGGCTTCCCACTGAGCAGGGAGCCCGATGCGGGGCTCGATCCCAGGACCCTGAGATCATGACCTGAGCCGAAGGCAGAGGCCTAATGACTGAGCCACACAGGCGCCCAGAAGCATATCATTTTAACTTGGCACTTGGTAGTAGATGGATTTCTAGCAGCTTATCAACTCCAGGCACTTCTTAGCAGCCTCGGATTTAACATGTCTGTGGCCTTTATTTCTGAATTCTTAGTAGGCTCTCAGGTGCCTGGATCCTGCAGTTCAAGGATCCTTGAAGGCATTATTTTCTGTCTGTGCTTTTGCCTATGGAAGTCTTCTGAAAGCTGAGACCCCCAGAACTGTCTTGTTGACTTTTGCAAAAAGAGTCCTTTTTATCTCCCAAGCCAGCCCAGGGCCCAAGTCACCGATTTGGAAAGCTTGATGGAAAGAGCAGGGGGGTGAATGCCTGGGAGTTCCAAGGAGAATACAAGTTCCTCTAAAATTTTAGGGGTCTAGTGGTGCTATTTAAGTGTGTCTGGGGTGGTAATGATTCTGTGATACACTTCAAGTTTGAAAACTGATAATCTTCACTTTTTCTTTTGTTCTTGGATTTTGACTGCCTGTGATCTAACGTAGTGATCTTCAAAGTGGGGCACATGTATAGTAAACCATTTGGAAAGCAGGAAGAAAATACTAGAGCTATTTGTGTTACTTTTTAAATCTCATCCTTTAAGGTTTTTGTTTTTTTTTTTTAATTTAGAGAGTATGTGTGAGCTGGGGGTGGGGCAAAGAGAGAGGGGAGAATCCTCAAGCTGACTCCCCACTGAGCACAGAGCTGATCCCAAGAACCCGAGATCAAGAGCCAGATGCCCATCTGACTGAGCCACCCAGGCGCCCCATTCTTTAATTTTTTTTTTTTTGTAGCTTTTATAATATGTTGTTTCGTGACATGTGTTTAAATACAATATTACAATATTGGTAAAACAGTTCATGTGTACATAATTATAATTAAATTTACTATATTGGGAGTACCTGAACAACCTTAGGCAGGTTGCTTAAATGCTTTAAAACATTTGCTTTTTCTTATGTAAATAGATGTGGTAATACCTATCTTCGGGTTGTTGTGAGGATGAGGTGAAATAGAACATTTAAAGCATATAAAGATAGTGCCTGGCATATGGTAAACATCCAATAAGTATCAGTACTATTATCATTACAATGGGTGTAGGTTTTCTCATGCTCTATTTATATATTGCTATTATTTTCAGTATTGCTATAAGCTGTATACCTAGTGAGAACAGTCCATGGCTACTGAGAAACTAAAATCTAGAAAGTGAGATTCATTTTTTCTTTGTGTATCTTTCAGTTCAAGTGAAAGTATTTAGGAACACTTGTTGCCATAGTTCAAAGGTCTCTAAAGGCAGCCAGCTCCTGGCTCTAGACAAATATTCCTTTTATGGCCTTCCTTTTGCATGTGTACAACCACCATTTATCATTCAAAAAATCTTATTAGCTGGTCCTCTGTCTGATCTGGCCTGCCCAGAGCCAGGCTGAAGCTGTTGGAGAAGGAATGAAGAATGTTGGATCAGGTCCAAATTGTATTTCAAGGGTCTATACTTTGAAGAAGAAACTTTGGTTGATAAGTCAGAGTGTGACATTTAAAAGTGTGCTCTTGTTGCACATGAAGTGATGATAAATGGCTCTGCTCTTGAAAAAGCCTCTACATTCAGGACTAGTTACACGTTTTATCTGTGTGACACCTCATTAAGGCCAACCTGAGATGATTCTCAGAAAACAGATTACTGCATTTAACACTGTATTCTGGTTATCAACTTGAGTTTTTGTCTACATCACCAGAATCTAAACTCCCTGAGGTCAGGGACCATGTTAGTCCCGTACCCCCAGGACTTTGCATTCAGTAAATATATGTTGAATTGACTAGTCACTTGTCCACAGTCATATAACTAGTAAGTGGTAGACCTAGATTTAAATCCACCTCTATCTTTACCCATTAGCTCATTTAATTTCTTATCCCTGCAAGGAGGACATTGTCTTCATTTCACACATATGGAAACTTCTGGAAGGAACAGTGACTTGCCCAAGGTAACATAGGAGACAAATGGCAGAGAGGCATTCAAACCCAGGAATGTCTGACTCCATGTCTTATTCTGGCTCTCTCTCCATTAGGCCTGCAAATCATCGGACCTTATTAAGACAAAAGTTTGTGTTTCTTTTTTTTTTTTTTTAAAGATTTATTTATTTATTTATTTGAGAGAGTGAGAATGAGAGAGAGAGAGAGTACATGAGAGGGGGGAGGGTCAGAGGGAGAAGCAGGCTCCTCGCCGAGCAGGGAGCCCGATGCGGGACTCGATCCAGGGACTCCAGGATCATGACCTGAGCCGAAGGCAGTCGCTCAACCAACTGAGCCACCCAGGCGCCCCAAAAGTTTGTGTTTCTTAAGTGGTTTTATGTATAAATGACATTTCAGAAAAAAAAAATACAGAGTTACGGATCTCGGATAGTCATGGTCTGGGAGTGCTACAGTGCATTTTCAAATTCCACTTGAAGAATAAAAAAGAGGACTTGCGTGGAGAAATCCTCTTTTAACGTTTTTTGGAAGGGTACTTAATATGTCCTCAAATCTGTGTACATATTTTAGCTGTCTTCTACATTGGTATTTTCCTTTTATAAATGAACAGTACTGGTATAATCAGTCCTGTTCTGTAGTATTTTATAGAAATAATGAGTCAGAATATTTAGAATCTTGTTAGGGAACTACGCTTGATGGAAAATGAATAGGCTACCTTGTTTCATGTACTCCATTTGGTTTTCCTGTTGCTCCTGTCTTTGCTACTGGCAGCAGTGCCTGGGCAAATGCTGCGCTCCAAGCAGAACTCAGTGCTAAGAATTACCTCCTGACACAGTCTTCACTGCATAGGCAAAAAGGAGAAACACCGCCCCTAGCCTCTTAGCACTACCTAATAAAGGGTCTTGGGTCTTTTAGGCAACCTTCTTAATTCTGGATCCTTTCCTTTCTCACATATTCAAAGTCATAGCGGGAAAACTGGGGAAACCAATCCCTTCTGCTAAGTGGCTTGTATGGGGTGACTGATACGCTGGAAATTTTACAATAACTACATAAAGGGGGGGATTTTGTAAGCAAACTACGTCTAGTCCCATCCCTTCTTGTGATGGTGTAATGAAGAATATGGCAATTTCTGAGGTCTTGAGTATAAAATCTTTTATTTTTTTTGAAGATTTTATTTATTTATTTGACAGACACAGGGAGAGAGGGAACACAAGCAGGGGGAGTGGGAGAGGGAGAAGCAGGCTTCCCGCAGAGCAGGGAGCCCGATGCGGGGCTCAGTCCCAAGACCTTAGGATCATGACCTGAGCCGAAGGCAGAGGCCTAACCTCTGAGCCACCCAGGCGCCTCCATGAGTATAAAATCTTTTAAAAATTATAGCATGTCCCACAAAATGCGGCTCTTCATTATCACATGATTCTAGCCTTGAGGGTGCAAACGCCTTATATTATTTGAATATTCCCCATTTTGTTAGCAGGTGGAGGTCTCATCCTACCTGTCCATAACCAGTAAAGGACAGAGGCTGAGCCCTTTCAATACGCTTTGGAAAGCATCTGACACAATTAGGCATTAATCTTTACCAACAACGATTAAAGGCACACTTTCTGGAACCAGATAGCTGGATTCAAATCCTGACTCCATCACATTAGTCCTGTAATCTGAGAAATGGGGTCAAGTAGGAGTTCCAACATCACAGAACCGGGGTGAAAATCAATCCTGTAACGAAGTACTCCCCTTCCGGACGGTCTCTGCCCATCTGCAGCGTACGGTCTGCACCACAGCCTGAGCTGCACGGGCCTAAGCCCCGCCCCCTGCCCGTCCCCACCACGCGCAAGCGCAGCCTGGCTCCGCCGGCGACCCTGCCCAGGCTTGCGTGCTGGTCGTCGGCGGGAGACTGGGTCTCGCGATGTGCGTGTGCATGTGCGTGTGCGTGCGCGATCCTTGCGAGCTCGCGCACGCCTCCCCTCGCAATACTGGGCTGTGGCGGCCTCTTCCTCTTGCGCTTGGGGCAGGACCCTGAGCGGTGGCCGCGGCGAGAGCTGAGCCCAGCGTCCGCTTCGCCGCCACCGCCCTCGCTGCCTGCCCGTCTGACTTGGGCTCTTCGCTCAGTGCCGAGGCGACAGGCTGGGAAGGGAGCGGCGCCGGCGTGAGGTTCCCAGCTGATGGGCAACCCCTGGGCGCGCTGAGGGGCCGGGCTACCAGCGGCTGAGGTAGGTGGGCGCGCGGGGTTTGTCAGTCTGGCTCCGAGCAGAGTCGGGGCGGCGGGAGCTCGTGGAGAAGGCGAGGAGGCTGCGAGAAAGGGGGCCCAGCCTGCCGGTGCGAAGAGGTCTCCGACCCACGTCTGAGGAGGGGCTCTGGCCCAGCCCGCAGCGAGAGGAGGGGCCCCGGACGTAGCCTGCTCGTCCCTCGGCGTGGAGCCATTATTGGGGGGAAAATGCCTCCTGCGGCGGGGAGCGGGGGAAGGGGTCACCTTTTCTTTTCTTTGAGAGGTCAAAATTAGCAGTCCTCCCTGTCCCCCGTTAAAATAAAGCCTGCCGGCTTCGAGATGGACATCTAGATGGAGTGGTCTGTGGACTTCTGCAGCTTGCAGAACTCCCAAGTGCACGGATAGCGGGCTATGAATTTTGGTGGTTGGAGGGTATACGACTCTTTCTCTGGTGTGGGCGTGTATCTTCTGCAAACTTGTTGTTGTTAATGCATTAATAATCGCATTTGGTCACAACAGGTAATACATTTCCAAACGCCTCTTGTCAAATAAGGATTCTGGTACGGGGGAAACCGCGCCGTGGGGCACAATTAAGGGGTAGAAAGAAGACAAAGAAGGCCGTTATTTATGATCTGTCTTGGTATCAAAACTTTCCGTGGTGGGACAGGATGCATGGCTTTTGGCATTTGTTTTGGCCCTCGCTGAATAGACTGAGTGACGTGGGTCACAAATGGACTTTCATTTAGAATTATAAAAATATATATGATTCTGTATAATCGTTGCAACCCAAATGACCTAAAATAAATCTCTGAGAATTAGGTGATGTTTGATCTTCGGAAGAGAACAGAACTTGGGATTTCTTGAAAGATATTCTCCATGTTTAGAAAGCTTCAGGAATGCTTTGTGAAGTTACTAAAAATAGTTGTAGTTCTTTATGTTGGCAGTAATGAGTACCACATTCAAGAAAAGGGAAAATAATTATTTCATAAAGAACGGCTCATCCAGGGACTTTCGTGTTTAAATACAGTAAAACAGCTTCAAGGATAGCAAGTTTTAGTGTGTGCCTTTTTTTTTCCCTTAAAGATTCATTTATTTATTTTAGGGGGGCGGGGGGAGGGGCAGAGGGAGAGAATCCCAAGCGGACTCCCCTCTGAGTTTGGAGCCGGACGCGGGGGCTCAGTCCCACGACCCAAGCGGAAATCAACGGTCTCGCAACCGACTGAGCTTCCCAGGCGCCCCAGTGTGTGCTTTAAAAATTCTAATTTAGTCACAGTTAAAATATATAGAAGCTCCTAGTTGACTCCCGTATATTCAGTGAACCATAATTTTTAAAGGTAATTAACCTTTGATAGGTTACACATTGTGTTATGTAACTCTTGGCTTTCATTCAGTCCAAACTATAGAAGTGTATTCATTCTCGTTCTCTTTAAGAAGTGTGGCCTGCATACTTTCACTGAACTCTGTACTAGATTATGGGAAGAGTCTTAACAAGAAAGAACAGTATGCTGCCAAGCCCTGAAGTAGGAGACACTATTAAGTGTAGGATTAATTAATGCTTGTATATATAAAGACTGCTTACAAACATATATATCGTGTGTGTGTGTGTGTGTGTGATAATGCACAAAAGGATCTAATGCTGTTGAGTCCCATCTTAAGAGGTTGAAATCCCAAAGTAGAAAGGATGGGTTTTAGCTCTTTCCTTTTTAGTTAACTACATCAGTAACTGTCTTGGTAGATTAATTTCTTTTCCAACTTTCTTTTTTAAAGAGAGAGCTCAGGCTGTGGATGAGCAGAGTGGGGAGAGGCAGACGGAGAGAGAGAATCTTAAGCAGGCTCCACACCCAACTTGAAGCCCCACACAGGGCTCTGTCTCACGACCCTAAGATCATGACCCTTTTGAAATCAAGAGTGGGACACTTAACCAACAGAGCCACCCAGGTGCCCCTCTTTTCTAGCTTCTGAATCAGTTATGGAGTAAGTAGAATACTGTATTGATTTTTTGACAGTAGCAGGGAAGAAAAACATAGAACATATAGAAGACGTGACCTTAGAAATGTTCTTTAGGTCAGTGTCTCATTGTTTGTCCATTGGAATAAACAACTTTACTCCTGTTTTGTGTCCTAGTGCTTAGAACAGTGTTTTGCATGGACTTGGCTCTCAATAAATGTGAGCCGTGTCAGAAGTAAATTAACATAATACAAACCAAATCCCTAAATTCCTGGAGAAGATTAAAGGAATTGGTGAAAGGTGCCTTTCTTTCTTTCTTTTTTTTTTTTTTTAATTACAGGTCTACTTTTTAAATAGTGTAGTTTTTTTTTTCAGTGTTTGTTGGTGTCTGAGTAGAAGATACTGGCCATCTTGCCTTTAAGAGCCTAACGTAATGTAAGCTGGCTCTGTATCCTGAGTGCTAATATATGGTGAATGTTCTGATAAATTCAGAGGAAGTAAAGTTAAGGGAAGTAAGGTCCAGAGGAAAGGTTTTGGTAAATTAATGATAGGAACTTAAAAGGCATGAAATGTAAAGCACTGAAATAGACTGTAGGAAGAAACATATTCTTCCTTTAATGTCAGTGCTGGTTGTGGAAGGAAACTTGTACCTTTCTACCTCATTTTACTAGAGCTTTCCTTGCAGCAGGGTGATTTCTGAATGATAAAATTGAAAAGGGGGTAACTTTTTCTCTTAAAATCTTCTCAGAGGTCTGTGTTTCTCTTTGCTTTTGCATGTGGTCTCTAGTCCAACTTTATTGGCAATAAACTAGTATTTTGATTCCTGTCTAATTCCTGTTTATATGTCTCAGTTAGTTTATAACTTGAAGGGGAAAGGAATGTGGTTAGTCCCTTCACAGATTCCAACGTTAGCTTTTCTTCAATTTGGAAAACAAATCTGTTTGACTTTGTAGGTATTATCAACAGAAAGATTTTGTGGATATTTGGAGAGGTATGAGCAAAAGAGGTGAATAAAAAACAGGAATATTTTAAAGTGGGTCTTATGTTTTCATTTTAGTATAGCTGGGTCATTCTCATGGTAGGGGGTGAGTTTTGCCCCACCCCCCCACCTGCCCCCATGCCCCTTGCCAGGGAATATTGGGCAATGTATGGGGAAACTTTAGGTTGTCAAATTGGGAGGGAGAAGAGAGTGTGGTTACTGACATCTAGTGGGTAGAGGCTAGGGATGCTCCTAAGCATCTTAAAATACACAGGACACCCTCTCCCCCCAAAGAATTATCTGATTTAAATGACAGTGCTATTATTGAGAAACACTGATGTAGTTGTGTATTATGCTGAAATTGTTGGTTCTGATGTCAGATTACCTGAATTCCTATTTGGCTTTACCATTTCCTAATGTGTGACCTTGCAAATTGGTAAAAATCCCTCCTTTCTGTAAAATACGGCTAATAATAGTATGTTCCTCATAGAGTTGTGTGGATTAAATCAGATAATGTGCAGAGTGCCAAGCTTATTACCTGGCACATAGAAAATGTTCAAAAACTGTTAACTTTCAGCTAATATTACTACATTTGGAACACATCTTGATCTGTCTTTATTTCTGAGCTGAAATTAGAATTTGAGCTGGTGAAGTGATAATAACATTTCTTATTATATCCTTGGGGATTGAGCAAAGAATTACTCTTTTTAATATTTGTGTTAACTCATTTAAATTGTTTTATGTTCTCAAGTCTGTAAGGCTTCTGCCATAAACAAATAGCTTATTACTGTAGATATTCTTCCTTTATAGTTAAGACTTTAAGCCAGCTGGCGAATAGCTCTGTATCTGTTGATTTACAGGAAATATTTAGTAATTTAACAAATTCAATTCTGTGACTTGACTCCCATTTCCTTTTGCCTTTTTTTTAATTATTATTAAAGATTTTATTTATTTATTCATGAGAGACAGAGAGAGAGAGAGAGGCAGAGGGAGAAGCAGGCTCCCAAGGAGCAGGGAGCCCGATGCGGGGCCCGATCCCAGGACCCCGGGATCATGACCTGAGCCGAAGGCAGACGCTTAACATCTGAGCCACCCAGGCACCCTCCTTTTGCCTTTATAACTGAGGTTTTGGTGCAATTTTACATGTATGGTGTGTGTAGGCAAACATTAACAGCTTAGGGGCTAGATCTTACTATATACCCGTGACTCTTTTTCTAAATCTGAATTGGAACTCATATCTTTATTTTTCTTACCTTATTGGAATATAATACTTTAGTTTCACTACACTCATTTTCTGGGGCACCTGGAGGGCTCAGTCAGTTAAACATCTGCCTTTGGCTTGGGCATTGATCCCGGGGTCCTGGAATTGAACCCAGCATTGGGGTCCCTGCTCAGCCGGGAGTCTACCTCTCCCTCCTCCTTCTACCTTTCCTCCAGCTCATGCTCTCTCTCACTCTCTCTCTCTAATAAATAAATAAAATCTTTAAAAAAAAATAAACTCATTTTCTGTGTGTCTAAATGATATGGCTGTTCAGTGCTGACCTGTTATGGTAGTGGTTGTAATATATACTTTATAAAGAAAAAAAAATCACGGGGATGTTAGAACAGAGACTGGACTCTTTGTTAATTAGTCACAGGGCTCTTTTAAGGGAAGAAGAGTCACACATATGATCAGGAAGAAATTGCACATTCAGCTTTTTGTCTTGATAATCATACCTTCAAAATAGAAATATTTTATTATGATTGTTACCTATATTTTTGTAGTGTAATTCTCAATTGTGTAAGTGTTGGTTCATTTTAGCTAATGGAAACCTTTGTTCACCCTTTATGAGTACTTCCTCCTGTTTGGATAGTTTGGATTAAAAGTTTTTGGTTTTTGGGGTTTTTTATAGATTAGTTAATTTAAAGGGGTTCAGTACCTTGAGAGATTGTGTTCTTAGCTTGGCACATTCCGTGTTTTGTAAAGTGTAGCATACACTGAGGATCCTTTTTTTTTTCCTTTTTTTTAAAGATTTGTTTATTTTCACAAGCCAGCGAGATCGAGAGCACATGCGCGAGTGGGGGAAGGGGCAGAGGGAAAGAATCTTCAAGCAGACTCCCTGCTGAGCGCGGTGCTTGAAGCAGGGCTCTATCTCACGACCCTTGAGATCATGTCCTGAGCCGAAACTAAGAGTCGGATGCTTAACTGAGGGAGCCACCCAGGTGCCCCAACACTGAGGATTCTATATCAATAATAAGTTATAATAAGGAGGAAGTGTCCACCTTGTGGCAACTATGGCCAGATCAGATGTGTATATGTGAGAAATAAAAGGCCAAAAGAAGGCATTCTAAGAATGTTAGGCAAATGGAAAAAAAAAAAAAAAAAAAGAATAATGTTAATAGAGTTCTTGTGTTTGTTGTTATCCTTTTAGGGTTTCATAATCTAGAAGAAAAGAACCTATAAAATGTAACAGATTTAGGGACGCCTGGGTGGCTTGGCTCAGTCGTTAAGCATCTGCCTTTGGAAGCTCAGGTCATGATCTCAGGGTCCTGGGATCGAGTCCCACATCGGGCTTCCTGCTCGGCGGGGAGCCTGCTTCTCCCTCTCCCACTCCCCCTGCTTATGTTCCCTCTCGCTGTGTCTCTCTGTCAAATAAATAAAATCTTTTTTAAAAAATGTAATAGATTTATTCTCTAATTATCCACTTTTCCTTTTCCTAAGCAGTGAACATTATGGCTACTAATGCAGTATTATAGTTGAGTTATCCTGTGTGACTTATGTCCATACCCTTGGTTAAGTTGAGGAAAACAAGTATCTTTGAATCTGCTGATGTGTGTTTGTTTATAAGTGGTCTGGAGTCCTGCCTGTTGGCCTAATTTTAGGTAGCCTGCATAGTTTTTGGAAGACAGACTATTTTCCCACTGAATACTGTCATACAGGTATATATTTGTATATGTGTATTTATGCATATTTGTCATTTATTTTTGGTAGAAAATGATGCATCCTGTTGCCAGCAGTAATCCGGCTTTCTGTGGGCCTGGCAAGCCTTCCTGCCTCAATGAAGATGCCATGAGAGCTGCTGATCAGTTTGACATATATTCCTCCCAGCAAAGCAAATATAGCCACACAGTCAGCCACAAACCAATGGCTTGTCAGAGGCAAGACCCATTAAATGAAACACACTTGCAGACTACAAGTGGCAGAAGTCTAGAGATAAAAGATGAACTAAAGAAAAAGAAGAATCTCAACCGATCCGGTAAACGTGGCCGACCTTCAGGAACCACCAAATCCGCAGGATACCGTACCAGCACAGGCCGACCCCTGGGAACCACCAAAGCAGCTGGATTTAAGACAAGTCCAGGCAGACCTTTGGGTACAACCAAAGCTGCGGGATACAAAGTCAGTCCAGGGAGACCTCCAGGTAGCATTAAAGCTCTATCCCGTCTTGCCGATCTTGGTTATGGCTGTGGCACTGCTGCTTTTCCTTACCCTATGATGCATGGCAGAGCAGTTCATGGGGTAGAGGAAACCAGCAGTGAAGTCAAGCCACCCAATGAGTGAGTGAGGCAGGAAAGGAGGGCCAGGTTTAGAAGGAATATTGTGAATAATCCCAAAGCTTCTGGTTTTACTTTGACATACATGATACTATGGCCTGGGCTTTCCAAATTTGTTTTCCCGTTTGATTTGTTTTCCTGCCTTTGCTTAGAAACTGCCATATGCTGACAGATGCACTCAGGGCATGAGCAGTGGCATTGTATTTGTATATAGGTTCAAGTGTAATACCTAACTAAATCATTTTTGCTTTTTCTTTAGAGTTCTGGTTGTGTCTCATATTTCATTACTCCTTTTGGGCCATTTTAAATAGATGCTTTATGTGCTAAACAACTGAAACCATTATACCTGTTAGTTTGTGAAGTAAGCCTACAATATAATAAAGATAATATCCAAGGTATTTTTAACTGATGGAACAAAGCAAACTAATGATTCAGGATTACTTGAGGTAATGGCTGTGAGTTTTTGTAACATTTATTTTCATGAGACAGGACACAGATATTTGTATGCTTTGGCATTTACATAGACTTCAGATGTTAAAAATCTTTTAATGTTCTAGGTTTAAGCAGCAGAAGCTTATTTATTTTATTTCATTGATCTACATGGTATTAATTGATTTAACCATCATTCCTAAAAGAATTCTTTAGTGTTTGCCTTTCAACAATGATACGTTGTGTATTTTTTAATTGCCTAAGAGCATATATACCAAACACTACAAACAATTCATATTTACACAAAAATTAAACTTTTTAATGAACACTGCACATTACATTTCTGGTGAAATATGCATTCTGAGAATAGCATACATAATGTAATAGAAAAAGAAACATTCTTAAGGTCTGCATGTAGCTGTAGTCACTACATTTTGCCTTTCATATATTTAGTTTTAAAGCATTATACTTAAAACATTTATTAATGTTGTTCATTTATTCAAAATTTTATTAGTTTTTTTCCTGAGAAATTGTCCCATTGCATTAGCACTTACGGTGGTTTCAGGTTTATATCTACTAAAGGACACAAATTGAATGGTAGAGTCTAAAACTGGTATAAACAAAATGCAATTGTCTGTCAGAACCCAAATATTAAGAAATATATAGGAATCCATCTATGCATGAATCACATAAAAATATGTTGATTAGTTTAATTAAACATCTAATTGTGGCTTCAGTGAGACCACTTCATCCAAAAGAAAATTTTTTCCAACAGTGTTTGCTTTAGAAGCAAGATAGAAAAGAAAAAGTATTGGGTAGATGTGTATGGTAGGGACAGAGAGAAATCACTCTTCTCCCCTTTCTGAAAGGAATAGTCTTCGTTAATATACATTTTATTTATTCTGAGTTTGTTCTAAATAAAATAAACTATTACAAACTTTGGATTTGAAAAAATTCCACTCAAATTGTGGAATTTTAAATGCCTTTGAGATTATAGTGTAGATTTGCAGGACCCAAAAACTTTTAAAATAATTAGAATTTTAAAAGGGAGCACATTGTGTTATTTGGGCTTGCCCTCAGTTAATGCAAACTCTCGTTATTGCAAATGGATGTCATGTTTCGTACCTTTTCATCAGGAAAAAAGCAGCAAGCCTTCAGGCGTTCCAGTGATGCCTGACACAATGAGCTGGACTTAATGCTGCTCTTTATAGTAGGAGGTGTTGCATTGTATGTGGGGACTGTGTGTGCACTGGCATCTAAGACAGTGAATGACCTCAGCAATTTCAGCTTTGCACAAACCATAGAGAACAATATTGGATGACTATATAATAAGTTGTAACGTTCTGGCAGCTAAATTGTTACAAGAGTTTCTCCTTGCAGAAGCTTAAGATATAAAACTTTGAATAATTTACTCAGAACAGTATAACTTCTGACACACACAAATGCTTACATCTTTATTCATATGTTTATCCAGTTTTGATATGTATCTGTCATTTAGCTGTTTCTCAAGGTGATGCTCAGCAGTTGGCTACTTAAAAACCCTCTTTTGAGTTCCTGAAAATAGCTGTTTAATTAAATGTTCTACCGTAGGATAATGTATATCACCGTTAAGGATTTGGTTGCCTCTTGTTTTATACTGTGTCCATTTGACAATTCCCTTTAAGTTTATTTTCATTCCTGATTTTGTTGTACATACCCTTCCCTTTCTCTCTTGCCTTTGCTTCATTCATTCATTGCCCTGCCTCTTTCCCATCCTTCAGCACATCTACTCAGTGGTGCTGTGCTGTGTGTCAGAAGATAACGCAGGTGTATTATTGTATAATGAATTTTGTATACATGTTAATGAAATGGTGAAATCAGCTAAAGGAATTCTGTTCATAACAGTGTTTATTAATATCAGGAGGCAAATGGCTACAGTTGTGAATGGTTAACATTGTTTAGAAAGCTGAATTTTTGTTCATGTAAGCATTTACCTGGAGTAATTAGATCTGTATGGTGGTGAGCATCTCCTGATTCCACTTTTCTCCTTGTGAACAGTTTATTGGTGCCATGCTGAAGAGAAAGACATCTAAGTGATAACATGAAGTCTTAAAATATAAAATATTTTTACTTCTCTATAAAGACTACATTGTGCATCTTTTGTAACACTGTCTCTTGTCATGATAAACACTGAAATAGCATGTTAAACAATTGCCTATACTTAATATAATCAGTTGGGGAAAACTGGCCTTTTCCTCCAACTGTGTGATTGTTCCTTGAAAGGTAAACTGCTAATTTTATATTGTATAATTCTGTTCTTCATAAAATAGGTTTCACTATTCTATATTAAAACTGTTGGTCAGAAAATGATCTGCTATTCAAGTAAGTTGGCTTTACTTTTTTTCTTTGAAAACTATTTTAACATGCCTTATTTATTATCATATTAACAAATAAGCAGCTAATACAGATGAAATTTTCATTTTTTGACAGATATAACCTTGCATAACTAATCTTTAGTATGGGATGATTTTGATACTATCTTTGGAGTTTTGCACTGGATATTAAAAAAATACTGGCATAATGTATTGGAAGAAAATAAGTATCTGATTAATTTTTAATATTTGGGGACATTTTTAAAAATCAGTGTTCAATTAGACTAAAATATTCTTTATATTTTTTATTTACTTTTTAAAGAAAACATCTGTTAAAGTAATAAAAGTAATCTTCATTCCAAACTGATGTTTGTGTGAATTTACATGTATATTTTCATGATGTAATAGAGTTTCTTTGAGTTAAGGAGGAAAAAACAATTATCTGGATCCATTTATTAGGTTAAAGGTGATCCAGCCAGTGTAAGAAAAACCAGTGTATGGGCTAAAGAAAAAAAAACCTTCTCCTTTATATTCTAAGAAGCTTTAAAAAAATAATTCAGGGGATGTTGGCGATACCTGCTGCTCTTGTCGGTCATTGTCTCTGATATGCAGTGAAATTTTATGATCCCTTTATGATATAAAAATTCACAACAGTTAAAAACATTTTTTTCCTTGGACATAAAATATTTAGATGCTATTATATTTTTGTTTTTATTATGGCTTACCTATATGCTATTAAACTCTAGGATGTATCTAAATCTTTCCTTTGCTTTTCCCTCCCCCTCCTCCAAAGTAGGTAAATCTGTACTCTCACATACAGTGTATTTAATTTTTGGAAATTTTAATGCTATAGTAAATCAAGTGTGTGATTTATAGTAATCAGACCACTTTGATTCTTTAAGTTTCACGGTTTCCTTTTTCCACAGATAATTACAGAGAAAATAATTACCAATTAACTAATACAAGCACGCTGTCCTCTGCTGTAAAAAGTCTGAATAGATACTGTGTATGTTTTTATGTCCATGAACTTCAGCTACTCGTGTGCAATTATGTGTATGGGAATGGAGTAGTGTTCATGATTTGTATCTACATCATCATATGGATGTATATTTATTAATAAAGTCATTACTTTAAAACCAACTGTGTTTACTGCTTTATTTTCTTAGCACAATATTTGTGAAGTAGAGGAATGGTAAGTAGTAAATCTTTATCATGACTGGATCTCGTATTTTCCTGGCTGTGCTTTCTGAAATCTGCCCCTCTGTACTTTTGTTTTTCTCAAAATAGTAATATTTGTATATCTGTAATTTAAAATCCTAACTTTAAAAAAGATTTTATTTATTTATTTGACAAAGACAGCGAGAGGGGGAACACAAGCAGGGAGAGTGGGAGAAGGAGAAGCAGGCTTCCCGCCAAGCAGAGAGCCCGATGCAGGGCTTGATCCCAGGACCCTGGGACCATGACCTGAGCTGAAGGCAGAGCTTAACAACTGAGCCACCCAGGTGCCCCATCTGTGGCTGCTTTTGTAATACAGTGGCAGAGCTGAGAAGTTTTGACAATAGACCAGCAAGACATAAATTATTTACTAATTATTCCTTTATGGGAAAGTTTGCTGACCCCTCATTTAGAAGGATAAATTGGGAGTAGGAAACAAATGAAATTTGAAGTTGAATTTCAAAACCTGAATGAATGATGGCTTTTTTTTTTTTTGCTTTTGAATTGTTTTAAATATTCTTCAAATTGTACTTTTTTTTTTTTTTTAAGATTTTATTTATTTTTTGACAGAGTGAGAGAGGGAACACAAGCAGGGGGAGTGGGAGAAGGAGAAGCAGGCTTCCCGCCGAGCAGGGAGCCCAATGTGGGGCTCGATCTCAGGATCCTGGGATCATGACCTGAGCCGAAGGCAGACGCTTAACGACTGAGCCACCCAGGCGCCCCTGTAGAACTTAATTAAACCATGTGATGCCGATTTTTATTCATTCCAAACTGATATTTTAACATGCTTTATCTCTCATGTTAGCTAATTGACTTTAGTACAGAGCCAGTGAAATTACAGCCCATTTGCCTAGTCCTAAGCTTCAGGCTAGTTTCTAGATGAATTTCACCAAAAGAAAACTGAGGGGGTGTCTGGCTGACTCAGTCTGTAGAGCATGTGACTCTTGATCTTGGGGTCATGCGTTTCAGCCCCATATTGGGAGTAGGGATTACTTTAAAAAGTAAAATCTTAGGGGTGCCTGGGTGGCTCAGTCGGTTAAGTGTCGGACTCTTGATTTCGCCTCAGGTCATGATCGTGGGTTGTGAGATCAAGCCCTGCATTGGGCTCTGTGCTGGGCATGGAACCTGCTTAAGATTCTCTCTCTCCGGGGCACCTGGGTGGCTCAGTGGGTTAAGCGTCTGCCTTCAGCTC